TTCACATGGTGAACAGACATATACAGGCAAAACGCCCACATATATAAAATAAAAATAAATCTTTTTAAGATAAACTGATTTGTAAAGAGTGGTGGTTGTAGACTGGGATTGCAAGCAAATCCCAGCTCCCTGGCAATCGGAAGGGCGCAGCCCAGCATCCCATCAGCAAACACTCTGGTTTCTCAAGGGAAGTCTTCGTGAATCACAAGCACACTGCTCAACTCTTCTCATCCCAGCAGCCACCCAGGCTTGGGGCAGTGAGGTAGTTCTGAGAAATCAGCCGTCCACTCGCCAGTTAAAGCCTGGGCAAGGAGCAGTGAGATGGCCATGTGAGTAAAAGTGCTTGTTGTCAAGGCTGGAGACTTGAGTTCTTGCTCAAAATCTCACATAATGGAACTGATTCCCACATGTAGTTCTCCGACCGCCACATGTAAGCCACAGTGCATGTTCGTGCCTAGACAAAGTTAAGAAGACAGACAGATAGACAGTCTGAAGAGGAGTAACGTCGTGGCCAACACTGCTGATTGCAGCCTGGGGGTCCAAGCGTTGGCTCTCTCTGGTCTCCCTCCCTCATGAGAATATATACATGGGGAACACATTCCTCTGTTACCAAGGGAACATCACTCAATAGTAAGACCCACCAGAGAGTACCCACCACATGTGCAGGCTCTGACCACAATGGAGAAGGCAAATGACAAAGATGGTTCTGCCCTGAGGCTGCAGCCTGGACTAGGCTGAAGGGGGTAGGGGGATGGAGATGGGTGTGGGTTGGCTCAGGTTGATCAATGGGAGGGAATTGGTGGAACTCTCTATACACACTGAGGACCCCGCCCACTTCCCCTACCTGCCCAGACTGAAGCAGCCTCCCCTATGCCCTTGTGCCCAGATCTCCACTCCCCCTTTCTGGGTTGATCCCATGGTCTTGCACATACTAGATGAGCATTCTAACCACTGAGCCAGCCAGGGATTTCTTTGCTTTTATTTTTTTTTTATCGTTTTAGATTTATTTGTTTTTATGCATATGGGAGTTTTGCCTGTGTGTGTGTCTGTGCACCATGTACATGCCTGGAGCCCACAGAGGCCAGAAGAGGTCATCAGGTCCCCCTGGAACTAGGATTACAGATGGCTGGGGACTAAGCTGGGCCCTCTGCAAGAACAATAAAAACTCACTGAACCTTTTCTCCAGCTCTGGGAACTGCTTCATTCCTTCTTCCTTGTACCCCAGAATTTACCTTTGAAAATTGGAGCAATTGTTCTTGCCGTCTGCCCTCTGCCTAGTGAGCCCACTGAGCAGGGATACACTCCTCTCACACTCCCCCTCATGCAGACTCCAGTGATGTCCAGAGCCTTAGTCATGCACTTTCTGAACAGCCACAGCTCCCCTGTTAGCCTGCTGCCACTGGAATGCTCTGCCGCCATAAGTCGTGTGCCTCCCGACCCTGCCAACGTGCGTGTGGGAAGAGTGCAGGGACAACATGCTCACTTGAGGACCCAGCCTTCCGTATGCCTGTGTGTCACTGGAAGAGTATTTGGGACGGGATGCGGCTGAGTGTCATCAGCTTAGCGAGGAAAGGATTCCAGCCACCCAGACTTCTGGCTGAACATTTCCATCCAGCACAGAGAATTTTCGTTTCCATCATTTCCCTAAATAACATTAAGTGTGACTGGTGAGTTGATGTTTGAGCTGCAAGCAGGCAGGGGAAAGGTTTCCACGATGGCTTTGGAGCGGGAGCAAGTATGCCTGAACCATCTGGCTGCATTGAATGATTTCTTCTGACCTCCCAGTTGTGCTATGGAATGGTAAGGAAGCTGTGGGCCAGCCTGTGGTAGGCGCTGGGCTTCACACACTCCTCTGTGGCTGGGCAGAGTAATTGCCCTATGGTTCTAAGATGGTCTTGTTTGGTCTGACTTTCCTTTTGTTGCAAACACTCTTGAGAAGTTCTGAGTCATGGTCAGGAATGACAAAGAGGAAGGAAGCCTGTGAAGAAAACCAAGGTGTCAGACAGAGAAGAGTCCAACGACAGAAGCCATGACTGGAGACTTAGATAGTTGTGACCATAGGCTTGATAATTAGCACAATGACAGATGCTTCATATAAATTAATGTACAGGGAGGGAATATTGGTTTGGACTCAAAGTTGCTTGGTTCTATGGTTCTGAGCTTGTGTCAAAGAATGTCCTGGAGAGAGTGTATGGTTGAGCAAGGCTGTTTACCTCATGGTGGCCGGATGTAAATGAGAGTGAGGAGGGGCCCAGGGTCCCAAGGTCTTCTTCAAGAGTGTGCTCCAGTGACCTAACTTCCTCTCACTAAACCTACCTTCTAAAACAGTGGTTCTTAATCTTCCTAATGTTACAACCCTGGAATACAGTTCCTCACACTGCGGTGACCCCAAACCATAAAATTATTTCATTGCTGTTTCATCACTGTAATTTTGTTACTGTTAGGAATTGTAATGCAAGTATCTGTGTTTTCCAGTGGTCTTTGGGGGTCATGACAGTGGTCGAGGACCACTATCCTGCAGATTCCACCATCTCTCAATAGCACCACATGCTACTTGAGACTCCAGGGGTGTGGATGGGGCATATAAAATCCAAACCATAAAAGTGATGATGGGCAAAGATGTTGACTTTGTTTTGGGTTGTAGACAGAACCTGGAAGTGCAGAGAAGGAAGGAGGGATGGGTGTTCTGAGGCAGAGGTGTCCTCCACTCATCTTCCTGTTGCTATGGCTTGAAATGGACCTAATGTGGCCAACACAGGATCCGCTTGGAATTCCCTCAATTTTGTACCATATCTTTGATCCACCAGGTCTGTTCTGGGTTTTGTGTGTAATGTGTATGGAAAATGTGTATAATGACATTCCGCTGGACTCCAGGAGGTCATCAGATGCAGCTAGAGGTTGCTGTGAGAAGAAATTAATACCCACTGTATGTGTTTTATTGGTGGGCAGTATTTCAGCATGGGGGGTGTTGTGCTTATTGGATATCCAAAGTGCTTAAGAAGAAAATTAAACGTATTTTAATTAGAAATGTGCTTTGAAATTCTCAAGGGAAGTTAATTAGCTATGTTCCAAAGCCCTTTGACAAATGATTGTGTAGGTTTACTTAGTATGTTGGTTACTTTTCTGTTGCTGTGAGAAAAATACACCTCGAAAACCAACTTACAGAAGGAAGTTCATTGACTCCTGGTTCCAGAGGTGGCATGGCAGCAAGCACGGTGTCAGGAGCAGGCAGCCAGCAGCTCACATCCTCAGTCATGAGCACCAAACAGAGAGCAAACAGGGAGTAGGACCAGACTAGAATCGGTCAAAGCCCACCCCCAAGTGACATACTTCCTCCAGCAAGACTCCACCTCCTAAAGGTTCCCCAACCTCCCAAACAGTGTCACCTACTGGGGACAAAGTGTTCAAATACAAGAGTCTAAGTGTATGTGTGTGTGGGGGGGGCATTCTCATTCAAACCACCCAAATGGATTTCTAAGGAAAACAATATTTGTTAGGTTCAAAACTTTGGGGGGGGGGCTGGAGAGGTGGCTCAGAGGTTAGGAGCACTGACTGCTCTTCCAGGGCTCCTGAGTTCAATTCCCAGCAACCACATGGTGGCTCACAACCATCTACAATTCAATCTGGTGTCCTCTTCTGGCATGTAGGCAGAACACTGTATATGTAATCAATAAATCTTTTAAAAAAACTTTGGGGGGGTTGAGACAGGGTTTCTCTGAGTAGCCAAGGCTATTGAAGAACTCACTCTGTAGACCAGGCTGCCTTGAACTCACAGAGATCCACCTGCCTCTGACTCCCAAGTGTTGGGATTAAAGGCGTGTGCCACTACTGTCACAGGTTATAGATGAGAACTGTTAATAAAAGCAAATGAGCTAAAGCATATAAATGAACTGGTATGGTTGGGGAATCAATAAGCACAGCAATTTATAACATCTGGTCTACCCAGATAACTACATGGTGTCTCTTAGAATTAAAGCTCCTGTTTGGAGATTTGCAAGTCACAAGAAATAATACCCAGGGCTCAATCTCACAACCCAGATGTTGTTGTCTGCAACCTGGATATTGCCTTTCGTAGAGCAGTTAGCATGCCAGCATCCAGGGCCCCTCCTGCTATCCTTGAAGGACCTGCCTTCCCAGTAATCCCCAGAAACATCCCACTGATGGCCCCCTTTCCTACACACCATTATCTCAGCGTTTGTTCACTGCTACCTCTCAAGGCCAGTCTTTCTATTTAGCAGTTTCATTTCCATCCACGTTATATTGACATCAGTAGTTCCCTCGCCCTCTTTGCTGGAAGTCACCATTAAAATAGATGCAGCACAGCTTACTTAGCTATCTTCCTATCGGGCCTCTTTCTGGGTTGTTTTGTACTGGGTCTATGCCTATGATATGGGTACATCCAGACTGCTCAGTTTGTAAAGAATTCATCACTGAGTCCATAGCTTTCAGAGAGCTCACATCTTCTATGCTATAGCTTTGGGACAGGAAGCTTATTTGTCTCATTTTAGAGTTGGCAAAATAAGCTTGCATAATGTCCTAGAAGTCACGTGATAAAGCCAGGGTCATCTGAATAAATGCAGCTGTGCCTGTTTCCTCATAGAAATGCAGTCACAAATAACTCCAGAGTACTAAATTCTGGCAATGCAAGAAGGATGAGAGTTTTGTCCTTGTGGGGCTGGCAGGAGAGTGGTAAATCCTCTGCTCAGAAAGTCAATTCATTGCATGTACTGACCAGAACAATAATCACCATAATGTAGAGTGGGGTCTAATCCACAGGAATGACTCTGCCTGGGTTGTGGAGTGTGTGACCACAGTGGAGGGCGGTGGCGTGAGCACCGTGCTATACAGAGGGTTTTGCTAAAAATTTCCACTGAGAGAAAATGTTCCCTGACGGTTTATCATCCTAGGACAGATGTCGGCCAGAGAGTTTTATTTCCATGACTAGTCAAATCCACAGGGCCAGCAGAGCCAGGGAAATACTTTTTTTCAAACGATTCAGATGGAATGAGGAAATCATTTTATTTACTAGTAACACCCGGGGACCCAGATGCCAGGGGCTGGAGGGTAGAGGAATGTAAACAAACACAACACGGGCCAACTCCCAGGCTGATACTTGAAACTAAGTTCCACTGTGTGACCAATGTGCTGGCCAGATTGTTAGCACCCTGGGAGTTGCCTGGCAATCCTGCCTTTTTCTGAGCGTTTTTAGAGAGAGGCAGATAGCAGTGATTGGCTCTTAGGAGTGTTTGTAATATACTGGGTGGTGTGTGAAGTGCTTCTCATGTAATCATTATCATCATCTCCAGTTCTCCAAGGAGTGAGTACAGAACGGCAGGGTAGGTGAGGAACTTGTCCAACATTGCCATGACATGCAGGGCTTTGGGACTGATCTGACCAGGCCATGGGGAATGAAGAAATGACAGGCACCCTGAGATAGGGTGGTTGCTGGGCTCTGATGGAGATGCACCAATGGCCGGGAAATCTGATGTGCTTATTGCAGATCCTGGGATGGTGGGCAGGGTAGCTCATGTCCGCAGGAGTTGCTGGGGAGCAGTATCAGGCCGTGTCATCCTGGAGAAAGAAGCTGTGCTTGATGCTTTCTGCACATGCTGTCAGCATCTGTGCTCGACCAGGGGAAGGCCTTGTTATTCCCATGGGTCTAAGGCACTGGGGTCCTTTACACGGCTATGTTCATGTCAAGAATACACTTAACTCGGGACTTAGTTCATTCATTCAACACCACTTAGGCATCAGGCCCAGATCTGTACATCTTGGCAGGAACTGTGAAATGCTGTTTACTTTACCTAAAAAGGAAGTGGACAGAGTACAGAGGTCAGTGGCACTTGGCTGGCCCAGTGTGTTGGTGACTCTGGAGCCATGGGGACCAGAGCTTATTCATCAAGGCCTTGGTGATAAAGCCCCCATGAAAAGGATCTGTTGGGATGTCAACAAAACCACAATCTTGAGAAAGATGGATTGTACCATTTTCTGGCCTAGAGAGGTCTTCATCAGGTTTCCTAAGCTCAGGATACCACCCAGTGTCTCAGTCGAGTACTGTAGTCTCAGCTACGACTACAACTCCACATCTGCCTGCACACCGCCATGCTCCCCATCATGATGATAATGGACTGAACCTCTGAGACTGTAAGTGGGCCACCCCAATTAAATGCCTTCATTTGTAAGAGTTGCTGTGGTCAGGGCGCCTCTTCACAGCAATAGAAACCCTGACTAGGACAGGCAGTCAATGGAAAGGTATTCAGGCTGTTATGGAATAGACTTTGGAAGCTTCTGGCCCTGCCAGGAGGATCTGGGAAAACACACTGGGTAAGAGAACAAAGATTCCATTGCTATCCAGCAAGCTGATTTTGGATCCACCGCACTGTGTGTTCCTGCAGATATATGTGTGCAGCAGCAGCAGCACTTTCCCGTTCACTAAACATACTTCAGACATCCCAGACACCAGATTCAGAATATATTCCAGGAGTATTTGAGTCACCTCAGAGTGAGGAAACAGACTCACTGAATGTATCATGCACAAGCTAGTAGATGGCAGTCGAGAAGCAGTCTGAGGGAACACAGGCTGAAGACCTGTGCTGTCTAGACTGTGAAAATGAAGGTAGGAGGAGGTAAGAGATAGGGCAACGGCTCCGTGTCCCACCCTGCTCCTGTCTAGCCTCACTCTGCAGAAAAGCTGCAACCTGGGCTCTCCCAGCTTCTAGGCCCCTAGTCCAAGGACACACATGTACCAATTTGGGCGCACCACTCAGCAAAGCCGCACAGCGGCCACACTGGGCAGCTGGCATTGCCTCATCCTGCATCTGTTGAATGAGCTTTTGGGGAATTGGAATGGCCACGTCACCGAGAGGAAATCACAGCTTGGTTGTGTACACAGGCCGTAGGTACACAAAGCTTCTGCTCAGAGGTGGTGAGAGAGGAGACCACGAAAGAAGAGTTCTGAGGAAAGGTGGCAGAGTCTCTGTGAAGAAAGTGACCTCAAGCCGTACTCAGTGTTACCGGCTGTGAGCAAAGGACCCATGCTCCCTGTATATATGGCCTTAGCCTGGACTTCCTAGGTCCAAAGGCCACCAGGGAGGAGTGGGGGCAGATGAACCACTCCCACAGCCCTCCTGTGGCTTCCATCTGCTGAGGCAACTGCCTGGTATCATTTGCATAAAACATCCCCACACCCATGCCATCTGAGATCACAAGTCTTTCTTGCAGATCCTATAACAGCCCCACCCTCCTCCAATACCCTGAGGGTAGGATCCAGCCTTGCTGATTCCCACAGTCAGCTAGAAAGGGCCTCAATGTTTGACCTTCCCTGGGCTGCCATCTCCCTAGATGCTGCCCTAGTCATTCTGAGACCCAGAATGTGTGGAGCTCAGCAAAGGAAACCGTGCTTTATTTCAGTAACACTTCTCCTAGGTGTTTTCTCCTTCAGGTCAGGTCGTTGGTGTCCCTTAGACAAATGGGGAGGCCACCTAGTGGCCAAGTCTTTCTCCTCTCAGCTTTGGGAGGCGATGCCAAGTCAGGTTTGTTTTAGAGACACAGGAAGTACACACTTCCTTTTACCCCTGGCTCCCTGTGGAGGCTGACACCCGTTCTTGTCCCAGTCTACTTCCAAATCTGTTGTAACTTAGCACGGTGGGCTCCTGTGCAGGTGAATAAAAATGCCAGGACAAGCACCAGACCAAGCAATACTAGCGGAGAAAGAGTCATTCCCACAGCATACAGGAAGAGGGTTGAGAGCAGTTTCTGGAGCATTGCTCCCAACACACAGAGACCAGTGGTTTGTTACTGGGGCCATCAGGAAGTAGGATAGATACATTCCGCAGTATGCTTAGCTCGAGGTCATAGTTCAAAAGGTTAACATAGACAGCAGCGCCTCTACGCATGCTCAGCTTGCATCGTAACAATGGCAGACAGGAAGTTTTTGCCATAAAGTTTTAGTTGGAAAAAAACATAACAGAAAGGAATGTTCCTGATGAACTAACTACCCAGCAGCTAACACCAACTCAACTCCTTCATTCTCTTGTGGTAGTCACTCTTGGTTGCTGGTCATCTCTGCCGTTGCTAAACTCCCAGTTCACAGAAACCGAAGTTTGTTTCTGTATCTAGGGTTGTTTCTCATGGGTGAAGATTGAGTCTGAGGTTAAACCGCCTGTGGTAAGCTCCCAGTTAGGAATGGACCTGAGATATACTTCTCCCCAAGGAGGCAAAAGTCTGTTGGAGTAAGAGTAAAACAGAAAAGCAATCTCTCTCCATGCTTGGTATATGGCTGTTACATATGATGCTATCTCAGAACCATGAGGAGGCTGTCCTGAAGGTAAAAAGAATTTTTTAAAAAAATTAAAAAAAAAAAACAAGACAAAACCCAAAGCAACCCACTGTAGAGTGTAGTCTTCCTTGCCAGTCACGTTGGGCCCTGTTGCAGTTGCACTCCCCAAATAATACACAGGACGCTATATTAATTATGAAGCTGTTGGCTGTTTGTTTGTTTCTTACTGGCTAGCTCTGACTTAAGTATGTAACCCATAGTTGTTAATCTAAGTATTTCTCTTACCGGAGAAAGGGTCCCGACCTCTTACTCTTCTGGTGGCTACATAGTGTCTTTCTGTGTCTCTCTTTCCCAGAATCCTCCTTGACTATTAGTCCTACCTATCTTGCTGCCCTATTGGCCAACAGTGCTTTATTCAACAACCAATAAGAGACAGATTTACAGAATGACCTCTCCCATCAACCCACAAAGTCAAGAACAATGGAACAAAAAGGAGGGGGTTAAGAAATAAACCCTCAAGCTTGTACTGATATTGTTAGCGTGTTGAGCACTAACTAAACACCTCTTGATGAAGGAGCAGCCGGCTGGCAATTGACAAGCACCAGAGATGACCATGCTGTTTTGGCTATATTTGGGAAACACGAACTAGTGCAGGCTGCCCTCTGGACATGATTAAGTCACATCTTGCCGTCACATTTCTAAAGCCTTATGGGAATGAGGTTGGAAGGCTAGGATCTTGTCTTCTAAATCAGGCCAAGATGCAAATGAGTTTCCTCAGAGGGCTTCCCTTCAATAAGAGCACCTGGAAACTAAAAGAACGTGTTACCTGTAACCATCTCAGCATGTACACACAGCAACAGCAGGGTAGTCAGGGTGACCATGTCAGACAGTCCTAGTCATGGCGGTGGAGGCAGTGCAAGGAGGCACAGGACTGTCACTCATCACAGTCAGCCTGAAATTCAGCTAGGCATGTGTTCGAGTCAGGAAGGCAGTATTTTGCTCCAGGGAGCCCTTCTCTGTGGTCCTTGGCTCTGCCTTCTTATAAGAACAACTCACACATGCTGGTGAATAGCTTCTTTGTCTTGCCTCCTCCCCTTGAAAATGTAGAGGCCTAGAGTTTTCTGAACCATCCCTGTCTCAGTCAGGCCAAGCTGAGGGCACACCTGCTCAAATCTCATATGATTGCAGGATTTCGTGGGGATTGTTTGGGAGCTGACGGAAGCCATACTCTGTCTCACAAGCACTTCTGAGACAAGGCCCTGTCTGCCTGGCTTGAAGTAAGAATCAAGGTGCTGTAAGGACAGCCTTAAGGGTCTGGAAAGTCTGTGTGTGTGTGTGTGTGTGTGTGTGTGTGTGTGTGTGTGTGTGTGTGTGTGTGTAGGGTGTCTTTAAATCTCCAGAAGCCTTAAAGAGAGTACTTTTCAATTTTCAAGCCATTTACTTTGAGGATAATTTGCTATGTGGGGAGGCTGAGAATATAAGACCCACAGACTTTGAAGCCAGGCCTCGATTCTTCATATTTTCTTTAGTGTGTTAAAAAGCAAAACTATCCATGACCTAGTCCGCTTGTTTCCATCCATCCTTCAACGCAAACACGGCAGTAAATACTTCCCCCAAACCTACTCTCAAATAGACACTTCAGTGGTCCTTGTTCCTGTGGGTCAAAGTTTTGCTGATTTTGTTTTTGTTTTCAAGGCAGGGTTTCCTGGCTGTCCTGGCACTCACTCTGTAGACCAAGTTGGCCTCGAACTCACAGAGATCTACCTGCCTCTGCCTCCTGATCGCTGGGATTAAAGGCGTGCGCCACCGCCTGGCAGCTCTGCTGCTCTCTCTGACGCCTCATTGTGCAAACCCTTCCTAGCTTTCAGTAGCTTTCCTTGCTGGTCTTTCAGTGCCCTGGAACAATCGAGACTCAGTGAGCCTTAGCCTGCTTTAGAGCTCGCTGATGTAGGTCTGTCTATCTAGTGTGTGCACCATGGCCTGCATGTGAAGATGTGGGAGTCAGTTCTCCTTTTCCACCATGTGTGTTCATGCATGTTCCAGAGATTGAACTCAGGTCCTCAGGTTTTGACGGGTAAGTGCTCTTCTGCACTGAGCCATCTCAATGGCCAGATGTTAATGTCTTTTCAATGTCAATATATGACTCCTGACACCAATTTCGATTCTGTTTATCCATTGCTGTGTAAAATCCCATCCCCTTGAGATAATGTTTTTAAAAACTAGTACTAGAAAGCAGGTGTGCAGTGCACACTTTTAATCTGAGCACTCAGGAGGCAGAGGTGGGTGGTTCTTTGTGAGTTTAAGGTCAGTGTGGTCTATGTAGTGAGTTCGAGACCAACCAGGGCTACATAGTGAGACCCTATCTCAAAAACAAGAAACAAACAAAAAACAAAACACAACAAAAAATTGGTACCAGGAATTGAACCCAGGGCTTTGCCCATGCAAAGTGTGTGTTTCACCTCCAAACTACACCATCAACGGCCTATAACAGGAAATTAAACCATAAAAGACCATCTTAAGCATCCTTATCCTGGGAGTTGCTTCTTCACAGCTGAGTGACACTCACTAGGGTTTTTTGCATGATTGCCTTTGGATGCCGACTGGAGTTTGGGATCTGACATTGCTGAGGGCACGGTAGAGAGATGAGGAGAGATGGGTGAAGATGGGTAGAGGAGAGTTTCAGGTTCGTATCTCTGAAAGATGATGATGTGTGACTAATGGACTTGGCCCTCACGATGTAGTCAGCGGGAATTGCTGGAAGAAAGCTGAGCAGGAAAGGGAGGTCATCAGACAGTCCATCAGAAAAATTGCAAGCAACGGTGTGGAATGGGGGGGAGGGCCAGAAAGCAGGCCAGAGAGGTAGGAGGCTGGCTGGAAAGCCTGGACCGGTGGGGAGCAGCAGTCAAGTGTGTGTGTGCATGCACGCCTGTGTGAACAGAACAGTAAGCAAAGAGTGATGTTAAGTCTCCCGCATGCCCCATCTGCTCTGGGGTTCTTCCAGAGGAAGGTGAGGACACAGGAGTCCATTTTTTCCTGGGCAGTACCCAGGCAGACAGCAGCTTAGGAATCTCTAGAAATTCCTTAGGAATCTCTAGAAATTCCTTAGGAAGTATATTTAATCTCCACTCTAGAATATGTCTCCTTTCTAAAGGGGACATGCCACCTTTCTGCACTGGGTGCTGCTTATCTACAGATGGAAAACAAGCAGTGGTTTCCATCTCAGGCACACTGCCCCATCTGGATAACCCAGCATAACTACTGTTCCCCAGGGACGGGAATTCACTAGGGGATGCGCTGTTGAGTTAGATGGAGGTTTGCGTGTGTGCAAGAGGTGATAACACCATCCCTGCAGGCAAAGTGACGCGTAGAAGACAGGCAGCCAGAAACATCTAGGCCGGGTCACCAATAGGCAATGTGCTCGCTAGCAGGTATTGGTGGCTTCTGTGTGATGGCTTGGTGTTCTCCAGAGGTGCAGACACAGGTGTAGACAGACACTCTGTGTGCTGACTGTGTGCTCTGCATCAGGTGTAGACACTCTGTGTGCTGACTGTGTGCTCTGCATCAGGTATAGACACTGTGTGTTCTCCATCAGGTGTGGACACTCTGTGTTCTGACTGTGCGCTCCCCCACATGTATAAGCATCTCTGGATGTTGCCACTGGGGTTCTCACAGCTCTGACTTGGACTGGCAGCCTCTCCAGTCCACATCTCCTCTTTAGTTCCTTTAAGAAGGCCTCGGTCTTGGAACTTTGGCTCTGCCTTTGTCTTTGCTTCCCAGGAAGTCTTTATTCTTCCCAGGAAGTGCTCTTTTCCCCTTGGGATACAAGAAAAGACAGTGTTGTCCCCCGTGAATATGCTTTATCTATCTCAGTAGAATACTGTCACAGGCTTCTCCCACTTGAAGCTTCTGGGGGTTGGGGGGAGATGTTCTACTACTCCTTCATGGGTCTGGTGTGTGTGTGTGTGTGTGTGTGTGTGTACTTGTGTGTGCATGTGGGAGGCGTAAATGTGTGTATGTGTGTGTTCATGTGTGTGTGTGTGTACATGTGGGAGGCATGCATGTGTGTGTGTGTGAGAGGACATGTGTGTGTGAGTGTGTGTGGTGTGTGTGTTCATGTATGTGTGTATGCATGTGGGCATTTATATATGTGAGAATGCACGTACACTTGTGTGGAGGTCAGAGGTCAAACTCAAATGTAATTCCTTGGAAACTGTTCACCTCCTTTTTCTGACACAACCTCTAAGATCTAGAGATTGCCAACTAGGTTAGGCTTGCTGGCTGGCTGTTGAGGACCAGGGATCACCTGTCTCCATATCCCCAGTGCTGGGATGACAAGAACATGCCACCATACCTTTTTTTTTTTAATTTGAGTTCTGGGGAGCAAATCCAGATCTTCATGTTTGCATGACAAGTGCTTCACTGAACTATCTCCTTACCCCTTGCTTTTTACAAAAACATGAACAAAACAAAAAAACAGGCTCTCACTTTGTAGCCGTGGGGATCTGGCCCTTACTTATGTAACTCAGGTTGGCCTTGACTTTGAAGCAGTCCTCCTGCCTCAGCCTCCTAAGGGCTGGCATTTCAGGAGGGGGCTTCTCCTCTTGCCCGTAAGATAATGCTGCAGCTTGGTTCTTAAGTGCTTTCCAAAGGCCCTGGTGCCACAGGCTTGGTTTGGGTGTTATTGGGAGATTCAATCTTTAGGAAGTGTGGCCTTGTCTTAGTTTGGTTTCTATTGCTATGAGAAAACGTCATGACTGAAGGCAACTTAGGGAAGAAAGGGTTTATTTCGTCTTACAACTTGTAGTTCATCATCCAGGGAAATCAGGGCAGGAATTCAGGCAGGAACCTGGAGGCAAAAACTGATGTAGAGGCCATGGAGGAGTTCTTGCTCTGTTTATTTTCTTACACACCCCAGGACCACCTGCCCAGGGGTGGCACCATCCACATTGAGCTGAACATGAATCATCAATCAAGAAAACTCCACGGACTTGCCTACAGGCCAATCTCTCTTCCCAAATGGCTCTAAATGACTCTTTTATGTCAAGCTGACCTAAAACTTGCCAGACAGGCCCTGATAGAAGGGAATTTGATTTTTAAGGGCATGTCCTTGGAAGGGATCAACTTCCTACTGAAGGGACCAGACCTCCACCCAGCCCCCTGCTTTAGCAGCCATGACAGGCTGCAGAAAGACAGCAAGACAAAGGCCCCTGACTCAGCAACATGTGCTTGCCCAACCTTGCCGACCTTCCAGACACTAGGAAGTCAGATACCCTCCATGGGGCAAGGAACCAATCAGAAGTTAGCTGGTGGGCTCTGAATGTGCCTTATGGTAACAGTGACA